GGCGGTGGCGTGTGTGGCTGTGGCGTGTGTGGCTGTGGCTTGTGTGGCATAAGGGGAGGGAAGTGTGGGACGGCGGTGGCGCGTGTGGCGTGTGTGGCATGCATGACTCAATGACTCACATTCTAAGGTTGACTCAGCCACGTCACCCACACAGTTACATCATTCACACATGTATATATGTATGTACGCCTGTGTACAATATAATGTATGAGTCAGCGTACCTAATGAATGTGGGTAAAAGTTCCAGGATGTAATCTCACTCATTGGTGAGTCAAGCTGACCCATATCCAGTGCATGCACCTGTCGTCTGCGCTCACTCAGCGGAATCTGTGAGATTTTGTTCAAATATGTGTTAAAAAAATTATTTTTACAGGTAATCTGTGAGATTTTGTTCAAATATGCGTTCAAAAATTTATTTTTAAAGACAACACTTCCAAAGAATCCAGTGTCTCCGATGTTACACATGTACAATGAATTTTTAATTTTATTGTAAAGTATTACAAAAAGTAATTTTGAATTTTATTTTTTGAAAATAAAAAAAATTAAGTTTTGCCAAATTTTATATTCTGTCAATTGATTCGTGCATTTTCGCCGACTTTACGCAAGTGTGTAAAATATCAAATCGATGGAGGTAAAAGTGTGTTAAATATCGATTGTAAGATTTAAAGTTAATTTAATATAGACCAGAGAGCGGCCGCGTAGCACTGATACACCCTTTTTGCCGGGCCAAACCGGGTCAAAATGACCCACAAAAACGCATAAACTGCCTCTTTATTTGAACACTTCTCTTTAACTTCACTTCTTGTTGTTTGTTTGCTACAAATCTTATAATCGATATTTAACACACTTCAACCTCTCCAATCGACCTGAAATTTTGCACACTTGCGTAAAGTTGGAGACAATGCATGAATCAATCAATAGACAGAATATATAATTTTGAAAATTTAATTTTTTTGTATATTGAAAATTATTTTTTTTTTGTATATGAAAATAAAATTTGAAATTCATTTTACATTTGTAACATCGGAGACACTGGATTCT